AGAGATTAGTCATAGTAGTATAAAGTACTCCAGTTTGCATCAGCTGATTGACATTTATAAGATTAACTCCTGGTCACAGAAGGACGATGGACACTTCTCGCCATGCTTCTGTTCAAATAAACGCAGTAAGATGCATTCACCTGTCAAATCAACAGCAAAATCCTTCATTCTGTAGTGGGCCCTACGTGAGCAGGAAGCCAACTACAAAACTTGTGCGTGATTCCCTATCAATACCCATCGACTGCACAACAGTGTACGTAAGTAAAAGCCACTTGTGCAGACCATCCCACAGCAATATTCATAAACCATGTGATGGTTAAAACCAGTTGCTTTTCTCTACAACCAAGAAAAAGAAAATCATCTTAGGGCTTACTTGATTTAACTTAGATTTAAGTAATGAGTGGGTATGTTCCAGAACTGTTCATCAGAAAGTCAGTAGCTGTGCAGCCTGAGCTGAACATTGTGTATGTACTACACAAGTTCCCAGGAATTGCCAGGTTTGTTACGGGAGTATGGCTTATACCAAAGTAAAATCGGGTACAACAAACGAATGTCATGCAGTTGAATTCAAGGTGTTTCAACTAAAAGATTTGGTAACATTGCCCTGGAGTGGAGCGCCTCCGGTTAAACGTAATAAATTTCTTGCCAAGAATGACTGTTCTGTTCATTAAGCTACAATCGAAGGGTAGTGCGGCTTTTGGTGTACTTTTATTTGTAGTTCGTCGCAGTCTACCCTCAAGTACGGAAGTTTCCACGCGTCTGGGAAAGCACCAGACAGCAGTTTCGACCTTCTGTGTCTTGTCAGTGGCGTGTATTCCTCGATGCCCACCGAGTTCCGACCCCATGAATTCCGGTTGCCAGCCGATGTGATGAAAACTCTGATGTCATTGAGTGTGCACAGATCACCAAAACATGACTGACAGCGAGGGAACTGTAGGACTGACAGTTAGCTGCGATATAGCGCGGCTCATATTCCACTGCTATGCCAGATACGAGTTGTGCAGAGGAGAGTGGGTGGCATCAGAGCTATGGCTTTCCTGATAACGACTGTGTACTACACAGCACTTGCAGGTTATAGCAAGGATGTTGATTACTGATGAGCAGCGAGGACGTTGGCATAATTTATATGTGATGCTTTACAGTCCCATTGCAGTCCCGCAGGTTTTTAAACTACTGATATCCGAAAGTCATGGGTTCTGAACCCGGTACGCGACTGAGGAACACGTATCAGTGAAGTGACCCAAAAAGTTGAAACAGCTGTCTGCTATCTTTCCGGAATTGGAAACCTGTGTGACTGTGAGGGGATTGCAACGAAATCCATCTAGGCTACCATTCCCAAAACGAACCGGTTTCTAGGGAACACAGTTATTCGGATGTCGCAGCTACCACCAATCCGCAGGAATAAAATCGATGTATGTAGTGCAAATTTAGGATTGCATTTGACGAAATATTTCTTCGCGACATATTTAGGTAGTAAGCTAATAAATGGACTTGTGTCCTTTAATCACCCTTTAGGCTAATTCGTGTGAAGCGTTTGAGGAGCTGGAGTAATCTGTCACCCCTAAAACGTAAGGAATCCAACAGTCGTTCTATTGTCGTGATATCAAGGAGCACAAGTACAGGTTAGTTTGTGGGAATGTATTTTACTTCGTGGCAACGAGTACCTCTCTAGTTACATTATTACTGCAGATATGCCTAGTGTCACATAAGCACATTCAAGTTTAAACAAAGGTGCTCTGGTTCACAGAAGGAATATAAGGGAGCGACTGCGTCGAATAATTATTCACAGGCTTTTCCTTCGACGATGTTCTTTACGGAGCATCTGTTAGTTCCTTAATGTTTGTATTTAAAAGTGCAGTTCAAGGCCTATGTGCACAGCAACGGCTGTGGACGGTTAGCTTTCTAACAGAATAGAATTCTATGCCCCGGTCATCAAGTTTAAGCGTGATAAAGCCGACCTACCTTAGTACAACTGTAAACGTAAAGCATTCGATTGACTTTCCAAGATGCCCTTCACAATTTTTAAGATCAGGCTGTCAGGACCAAACGGGTTGCATTGTCAACAGTAAGAGATTCCGGGTTTCTCTAGCCCTGTCACTGACTGCATACAAGATCCCAGTAAACAAGAAACCAACATGCGGTGGCTTACGCTTCCTTACACACCGCTCGACTGACATGTCCCACCTCAGGTGTGAACTCACTGTTGCATCTGCCTATCTGCAATTCACATAATAACGGCCGCTGTTTGGTTCATTCACCGTAATGGCAGAAATTGTCGTTATCATCAACTTATTTAGGAAGTTTCATGATAGATTTCTGCGAATGATTTCACAGGCTTGCCCAAATCTTCTCTCGATGATTTTCACCTTCGCCGGATAACTTATCCCAAGTTTCTTTCTTGATTTGGATGGAGGTTTCGGGAGACATCCGAGGAGGCCTGATATCAGGGCAACTGCAAGTTCATAGACATTGCAGTAAATGTCGCACCAGATTCTAATGTCACGTCATGAGAATATCATGAATCTGGTTACTACCTGTGGTTGTGGTTGGCAGGTATGTCTCTCAGTCTAATATTAAAATAGACTTCTCTATAAATGGCAGGCGCATTTTTCGGTCGTGCAAGGAACGGTGGCAAATGGAAGGGAATTGCCACAATCGTTGGCTTCAAATTGTAGCGATGGCGATGGAAACGTGACCCGTAAACAATGGGATTATTTGACAGAGCTACTTCAAATTTACAATTCAAAAGAACAAGAAATCGTTATTCAAGACTGGTGTTGGTTTTAAGCAATTCGAAAGCAAGAAAGCTTCTCTGTGAAATGTAGTAGTCATATATATTGGCATCCTGTGGTACACCATCCTGGCCTCAAAACAACACGATCAAGTTTGGTAAATAAATAGCAATTTGTAGTGCCAGACAACCTTGAACTATGAAAAGGACCAATTGTGGACGCCAAGCATACATAGGCAAGAACATGTAATTTGGTGCGAACTTCAAGAGCAATTACTGACGCATCAGACAAGTTAGAGAAGTTAAGTTTGATGCGGCGAACACTAAGTCGTTCGTAATTTTGGGCCCTTATTGCACATTGCAGACAACAAAGGAGTATATCTACTGTCTTAAGCAGGTGATTATGGATAATTCTAAACTACCTACTCTACGTAGTTTTCATCTTGGCTGCTGTCTAATCCTACGATAGTGCTAGCATATTCTTCCAGTTTAATGATCGGATACGATTGATAATCAATGAGCTGCTTCGCCATAATCCTTCGTCCGTCCGATTATGGTGCCATGCCCACCCAACACATTGAAGAATTGTAATGTATAACAAGAGTGTAGCAGCAGGTACTTACTCAAATTCCGCAAGCAGATGCTGTGGTTGATACGAGTCTGGCAAACAGAAAGAATTAGTATCAATTTAGAATAGCATTTTCTCTTCTTAACGGTGCGATCTGAATAAACCTGCATATCACTGGTTTTATTTGTTGTCCATCTCAACACGGAACTTCATCAATAGTTCCCTAAGTGCTTGCATTATTCAGGTGTAAATAATCGGGGTTTGATACTGGACACGATACACGGCGGAGGGAGGACGCTTCGACCTCAACATCAATAGCAGTGTATTGTCGTTATCATTCGGACAATATTTTCACTTTACTCAGTGAGCTTTCTTTCTAGCGAGTGGTCCGCTCGTACACTGAAACATGCCCTCACGAAGCCCGGATGTCTTATTCACCCTATCCTACACAAACCGTTCGTTGATATAGTTAACTGTTCAACTCTCCCTACGCCCACAACCTTGTCCAGTGGGTCACCAATTGTCTACGTGTTTACCGTCTCCACACCTATACCGATAATTAAGTTGATGAGCGCCCAATACATATATGCTTTAGCTGCTACGTTCCTAGTGATCACATTGATCAAGGCTCACTTCAGTGCGTATGATGGTGTGCACTGAGACTGCACGTCACATTCCACTCACACAACGCGTACTTTCAAATGACCCTCCAGTCAGATACTTTACCTCATCTCAATTTGTGTCGATTGTAACAGATGTTTTATGCACCTGGTCTGATGTCGCTATCTCCATAGTTTTATATTATTGTTACCACATTATTTGATCGATACGCAGGTCATTCATTTGACCATGGCCTCCTGTCCTGTTTCTGCGTACTTCACGTTCTCCTCTAACCCCTTCCGCAAACTGCGACTACACCGTGAATGATTGGCCACTGTGATTGTCATAATAGTTGCACACATTTGTCGTGCATTCACTCTGACTACCTGTTTTGGTTTCGCCAGCCTTTGTCCTCCCCACCCGTCTGACAGGAGACCATTTTGACGGTGATATACTTGGTTTCTAAACCTTCTCATAGAGTGTAATAATATCGTGGAAATTATGGCTCAAACGTGTTATGATTTCGGGATTATTGCGCATCACTGAACGTTCCATCGAACGTTACAAGATCCCTAATCCTCGAGAGCAATGCTTAGGACAGCAATTAGTAGTTTTAGCACCCAAACCGTTTAACGAGACTAGCCGATTTCACCGTTTGTGTGTTATCGATATGACAATGCATGCTTCAGTCTGCTCACCAAATAAGTTTAGATACGCTCGCGATTACGCAAACACGTATATAATAAGTATCTCGTGTTTAATCGTAATTTATTCGATGGCAACTCATTGTCATCCCCAATCTCTTGGATATATGTAAACAACGGTAGACATAAGATGAATACATCTAACACAATAAACCCCTCCCAATGGATTTCTTCCGCAGATGAGCTAGTTTCAGACCAAGACTTGAATAACAGAGGCGGTAGTACACTTCACCACTGGATTAACTTAAGCACGAGATCACCACGTGTTACGAAGAAACAAAGTTGATCAATTGTATTGATCATCCTTACGTTTGCACCAGACGCTTAACCAAATCTATGGGAAGGAATTGCTTTCATTTATTTTGAAACAAATTTCATGCAAAGAGAACTCACATCCTGGTTGAGCAATACATATTTTATTTGCATTTATGAGCTCCATAAACACCAATGTTATGCGTATATTCAAATATCTATTTGTTGATTAAATCTAAAAAAGATGATCAACTAAGCTATGCAAATCATGAGAAATCAGATGGACAAAAGCTGGCACATTACTTCCGTATGGTATACGTCACAGAACATGAATCAACGGAAGTGATTCTTCAAATGAATTATTTTACTTCCAACGATGGAAACAAGTGTGATATCAAACAGGGCGAAAACATGGAACGATGGCAAAAGCAAACACGGAATGGTCGAGATAGCCGTTGCGCTGTGGTTGAGTTCATGAAACCCCCACCGGTCGCAAGTGATATGTGATGAATTCCGTAATGTATAAGTCGACTGCATCCATGTAGTGAAATCCGATATGTCTGGCACTAAATCCCAGCTGGAGGGAAATAAATGCAAGATGGATTAAATTTTGTTTGCAACTTCCTTCAATTAAGTAAACACAGTATAAAATGTTAGTAAAGGTTTTATAGCCTTCCAATCGTCTTTAATTCTGTCGTGCACCTGGTATAAGGTAATTCACAAAATATTGACCGTCGGACGATTGATATATTACACTGTCGACAGTACTTACGCCCTTTTTAACCAAAGGTGGGCAATCCGATCGTTTTTCAAGTAGCCATTTTGTTTTGGTCATAACCCTTGGAGCAGCCTAATATAGTTCAGGCATATTACCGACAAACATATATTTAAGATCTTGGAAACAGGCACTTTCATACTTCTTCTAAACCACACCGTCTCATTGACAGAGCAAGTTCGAGCATATCAGAGATTTAGAGTAAATTTATTAATGGATACCAAACATTTTTGTCACTTACGAGGCACACCCTGGCAGCTTAATTCAGCTTTGTTCCATAACTTGTTCAATTCATACGTGTGCGCGATATTTCCGCACTACAGACTTCACAACATCGGACGAGCAGTACAATTTAGTTGCGCTACCATCGCTGCCATATAATGATGAAGGCACTCGTTGTATTTATGGGAGGCTGCAAATAGTTATCTGCGGACCAACAGGCTTGCGCCGTATATTCGATGGTTAAAGGCATACCGGCTGTCACATTTCGACTTTGTCACAAATCCTAAGATTCAAGCAGTTGATTACTCAACCGGAGAGAATTTGTATACAGTATCATAATAATTGAACCTCGACACTAATGACGCGACATCAACGGAAGTAAACACTGAGACTGAGACTGAAGTTGGGTTTGCCGTCTAGTTGGCGTTCATCCTGGTTTAGGAGTAACAAAGTGGCCACCCACGGCAGTACTTGTTATTCACATTTACATAGGGTCGTAGTCCACGCTTGCAGCAGGTTATAAAATACAATGCGTAAATTTCTAAAAGAAACACTGCACACCGCATCCACCATAGTCCTATCCTATGCACAATAAGAAATGATAACTTGTTATATCACAGCAACAATTCTGCTATCGTTTATCTAGCTCTGTACTGTTCTTTCCATTGCAGTGGGAAACTTAATAGATTACGTCAAGGCTGTACCCCCGGACGCCGTGGCTTTTTGCTTTACCGTGCTGGATTCTACTTTAGCTTCGGGAATACTGTGTCATACGTGTTTTCACTGGGTGAATTGTGCACCGATATTTGCTTTGTCGTTGTACTTTTCCATCTGTGCGAATTTGGTGCATATCCTTCGGCTAACGTTGGAGATCTCACTGATTGGCCCGACTGCCGTCTGTGTCCGCCATCTTGGAGTTGCTCTACAGAAATTTAACCGGTGTTTTCCAGACCACCAACTTGACCGATAGTGTTTGTCTTCAGCATACCAGTGTAGACGTTGCAACGAATGACTTCCGTAGATCTGACAATCGCAATGGTACGTACTGCTTGCCCACAGAAAGCTACGTCCAAAGCTTCCGAAATGCATGTTACTTGTTGCGTAGACAGCTGTGTAAAACTTGTGCGATTTGGAATAGAATGCAGAAGCTGTCGAAAATACTTCCATTCTCGATGTGCTCGCATTAGTCTAAGCCAGGTTATAAAACCTAATAGTACGACCGGTTCTCTCTGGTTCTGCACTGAGTGTACGTCTCTCACACTCGTCAGAAGTATGACTGGTTGACGCAGAAATGCGAGGAGCTGACGAACCTTGTAGAGCAAGCAGCAGCCGTGAAAGTTGTCCTACATGAACCAGACAAATCAGTGCCTCAAAATCGATGCTAAACATCAAACCAATTCGGAACTGTGTACAAGTAATGATGCAGTTAGCTACCTCGACACTAGCCGCTGCTCATAAAGATGCGTTCGCCACACATCCTTCATCAGAACCACCCGCCACACTGAACACTGTTAAAGGCCCGACAAAATACGCGTCCGCTGTTGCCCCTCAATTGAGAGTGGCACCTCACATCGTAACCCCGCCAGCTGCCAAACGAGTTACTAATACCAATACAACCACGGGACTCAAGACCCCATTTTGTGTAGAAACGAAGAAAGCAGCCATTGGTCCCTTCAAAAAGGAGAACGTGAATCACCACCATAATTTTCTGACTGGTATATGCTCTAATATGACTGAATCCGGGGCGAACTCTTTAAAAGATAAGAAACAAGACGACAAAATTTGTATGACACCCAGTGTCAACTAATAAAGGTTCAAGCTAAACCAGTCAATATGATGCGTCTCGTCCGTTACCCAAACTCCGTACACTACGGTGAACCGCGGTTACTCTAGGTAACAATTCAGTCAGGTAAGGATGCAGATGCAGTTCTCTTGTCAGCCACTGGTCTCCGTACCACCACATGCACTGTTCGAAATCTTTCAGATGTTCCTCGGAGCGAACGCCAGAAACTCAAACGAAATCCGGATAACTTCCCAAAACAACAAGACGCAAAATCTATCCTTGTTCACGGTGTCCCCGAGCTCCAGACATTAAGCGAGTTAATGGTCAAAGCGCATGACTGGGATGAATGGCGTTTTATTCGTGAAGTGCTCTCGCTCTAAACTGTTTTCGCTAATTCGACATCAAAGTTACCGCCATCGCCTAACTACAAGGAGTGTGGTCCCAGAGTGATTAACTTATCATTGCACTCCAAACTGATGGCAGAACATATGATCAAGATGTTGCAAAAATGCTTTAAATGCTCTCATTTGAAATATGTATAATGTCGACAAGCACTTGACCGCAGTTAGATAATGTAAAACTGTGAAAGAAACTTACCAACAAACTTATGTCGCTTGATAGCTCAGAAGTGAGACAAAGCCAAAACCCACCGACAGCTGAAGGAGGACAGACTGGGCACCCTCTCGTTGGCGCTGAGAACCCTATACAAAAACGTGAACAGGCCATATGGACTGCGCCATCGGTCCTCCAATAGACGACCGGCAGCCGAACTCGCAATGGTCGGCATAGACCCTCACCGGAAACAAGCATTCAGAAACATGCTTCTGATCACCGATGGCCTCAACTGCTTTCATACCAATGCACAACGTCTTCTCAGCAAGCTAACCGAACGTCGTGTTCGTCTGGTCTCCACGCCTAGGGACGTAGTTATGGTCCTCGAAACATGGTTGAACACGGAGGACAGGGATCCTAAGATTGCACTACCCAATATGACTTCTAGACGGAAGGATCAACGCAGCAGAGGAAGGGGTTTGATCATGTTTTATCGATCCGACCTGCATGTTGATGTCATTGCGAACTCAGAGACGAAAGTTATCGATTCTCTTTGGTGTCGTATGCACCAAAGAATTGTTGATGTGTTTGCCGGCAATAGTTTACCACCCTCCAATGTCCAAGTTTGATATCCATAGGCGCCTAGCTTCTGCAATGGAACGAGTCCTGTCACGCCTAAAATGTCACGTACTTCTGGTTGTGTAACTACAACCTGCACGCCATCGAAGTTCCATCATCACACAGCGAACAATGCACGGCTGATTTGCGAGAAGTGATCGCCGATTGACATTCGTACAACCATGATATCCCTCTCACGCGATTCCGAACGGGTGACACACCCACTGGTCTAGACCTTGTGGTCTCCATCGAGGAACTAACGGTCGAAACCTTGACAATAGATGGACCACTTAGCTGTAGCGATCACGCGATATTGCTCTTTCCTTGCATCTGGTACACCGAGTACTGCAGTGAGAACAACGTGGAATACTATGTTGTTGCACATTACAATATCTTGTCCTACCTCGTCCAAGAGACCGACTGTTCCTTCCTAGTCAAGCAGTCGCCCGATGTCGCCTAAATGGCTTTTGTCTCCCAATTCACTGAGCTTGTGGCAAATGTGTCAGAAAGCAAGGTCTTTCGCCCGAAGCAAGTGGATTCGTTCCTGAGCTGCCGTACTAGCAAATGCAGGACCTTACGTGATTCAGCCTGGCGCATTTACAATGTCTCTCCAAGTAACATGACTTGGGGTGCTTACCAAAATCAACGAAACGATTGCGTCAAGTTGGTCCTCGAACGCAAACTCCAGCATCAACAGAAGTTAGTGGCGAAATTCAGCACAAATCCCAAGCCGCTGTATATAAACATCAACAAGGTCCCCAGACTGAGTGTGCGATCATAGTTTTACGTGCAACAGATGGTCTTGCACAAACCGCAAAGATGCGGCCAACGTGCTCGCCAACATTTCATCCATCCTTCCTGGAGTGAATCATCATTTATTCCACTTTTGACACAGCTTCCACCACCACCATGTGTAAACTACGTATGGTTCACGACAGCCAATGTGATGAAAACGCTAATGTCATTGAGTGTGCACAGCTTACCTGACGTGGACGACATCAAACCGAAGGCATTGAAGACAGCGGCCATGAACCTTGCCGAACCATTATCCCGGTAGTTACAACGCTGTCTCGACGAAATACAGGTTCCCATAATCTGGGAACATGAACTAGTCACTCCTATTTACAAAGGTGGAAAGCATGCCGAGCCCTCGAACCACTGTCCAATCACTCTCCTCCCAGTTTTATCCAATTAATGGAATGTATAATTGCAGAGGCGTTCATGGGATATCTTGAGAGCAATGACATCATAGTGTCATAGCAACCCGGATTCCGTCGGAATCGTTCCTGCACTAACAACTTGCTGCTAGCCCGAGCAAGCTGGACAGAGTCAGCCGATGCCAGAGTGCGAGTCGAGGTGCACTACGTGGACTTCGCAAAATGATTAGGTCGTTTGGGTCACCGCATTCTCCTCCACGAGCTTCAACGCAATGAACTTGATGATCCTTTGCTCGGTTAAATCGGCAAGTTACTTGCTCAACGTCACCTGAATGTGAGAGTGCGTAGCTCCATTTCCGACCCGATTGACGTCCGGTGTGGCGTGCCCTAAAGTTCGGTAAAGTGACTACGCTTATTGCTAACATTCATTAACAAGCTTGCCAGTGTGCTGCAGTGGAATTTCTTACTATTTGCATATGATGTCAAAAGTCGGCATAGTATCGGGACGGCGGATGATCACATGACATTGCAGAGCGATCTCGACAAGGCTTATGCATGGTCATCTGATAAGCGTCTCCAGTTTAACATGACCAAGTGTAAAGTTTTAAGCATGCACCATCAGCTAATCTACGAATATCTGCTTTGTGATCAGAAGTTACAAAATACCTCCAAAAAGACGACCTCGGGGTGATTGCGCAGTACGATCTTGGTTGCTCGAGACAGGCTAATAAGGCATAAAAGGAGACAGTCAAAATCTTTGACCCTTACTTAGGGGTTTCGGAAATGTTAAGTTATCAATCATTCCACAAATGCTGAAGGTGTACACAATGCCTCAACATGAATATACGATCCAGGTCTGGCGTCTCTGGCGCAAGCGCGACAACAATACACTCGAATGTCCAAAAAATAGAGCGACCAAACTCGTTAGAGGATTGTTTCATCTCTCCTACCAGCACGGACAGCATTCCCTGAGATCGTTCATTGGCGAATGTCGACGACAGCAAAGAGACCTAATCATGGTTTACTTAATACCCACGGACCCAACGCACTCATGTCGCAATCTGTTGCAGCTGAGCCGAACTACCAAACTGAGAGGCCATCAACTGAAACTGCCTATGCAATACAGTCGGCTTGATTGTCGACGTAACATTTTCATTCTCCGTGTGTTCCGTGTCTATAATGCCATTATGTCTCATATTATCCCTTTTCCTACATTGATGATGAAACGGTTTCCAAATTGCATTACTTGATATGGTTCGTTGCACTTGGAGGAAGAAATAACCTAAACCCAACCATGCGCTTAACTGCCTTGAGGATACATGCAGAAGTGTCCAGATGAGTAACCTGGATGTTTTTAAACTGGGTTAAAATACCACATCTGTTAGATGAAGCAACACACGAGTGAGCGTTTTCGTTGGCTTTTTTCTTTTTCACGCATTTGCTGTACTAGAACCGCACTTTATAATATTTTTGTGTGCGTGCATCCAGTTCCTACTTCAAGCTATCTTTTTGCGTTAGGGCATTTAAATCCGTAGAATCTTAAAATAATGATTTTCTTCCTGATTTCACTTATTTACCGAGCTTGTAATTGGGATGCACACGTTTCATCACCAAACGAGGTGACTTCCTCAATGCGCTGCTGGGTTTAATGTAATCCACTGACTTGTTTGTCGATTTGTAATCGCTCAGCAATTGACATTTTTACTGACCTTCTTGATCTGTGCCCTGTGACCTTCACCAATCTGCTTAACTCTGTTAGACACAGGCTATCCGTGGGATAGTTTTGCCCCGGCTGTTGCGGATGTGTTTTGATGGCTCGTTTACTGACCACGACGGTTTGTTAAAAGGCGTTTTATTTCCCACTATCTTAACTTTTGGTATATTGAATCAATCTCTAGGTGCATGTTTATCGAATGCTGCGTCGAGTGCCATGTTTCGAGAATCTCTTTTGTTCTTCGTGTCTCTCCATTCACTAGGACCTCTGTGTTGTTCCAATCGAAGTAATGTCCTGTGTCTGTATGTATTGAAACTGGTGAGAGAGCGTAAGCATAAGAGAGGAACGATCAACGCGAACTACCAATGCATCAAGTCTTTCTGAACGAGTTACTTATTCGATGATCCTTTCAACAGTAATTTTTACTCCAACCATCCTACGCGAGTTGTCAAGTACATGCTTATTACCCGTGATAAATCACTGTGCTGCACCATAAAAAATTGGAGTTAACCTAGTCTCACCAGCATTCTTTTTAAGCACGTCACCAAGATAAGAAAGTAACGTAGCCACTGGTCAAGGGCACAATTATTTGTGTAGTAATGCTTTGCATGAACGGGTTTTTGATCGTTTACACCCTCAACAAATGTACCTGTTCAAGCAGTTTTGGATGAACTCTATGTTGAATCATTTTGTTAACAAATTACATCGCTGTCAGTGATAACAGACGTGCAACCACGGCAGTGGCAGCCAAACGACGCGTTCTTTTCATTTTTTTTCTCCATTTATCTTCATTTTCTATCAAGCTGCTCGGTATTTACACTATTGTAAAATCCTACTTTGTCAACTTCTTGCTTTGCTTCGAATTTTGGCATAGGCCTTCCCCTCTTACTTCACTGGTGTCCTGTCTGCGATGCCTCTGCTTCCTAACTTCAGCGTACCTGCTTATGGGGCAATTTAGAACGTGTTATCTTGTTGCCTAATTTTACTTCTAATCAATACAATATATGTTATTGTAATCATATGCTGAAAATCCATCACACTGTCGTAATAGTATATAGATGTGATCCACTTCATCGCATAAATTTCATTTTGTCCTATACTCGGTAATTCGTGGGGCGCCCATTTTACTTACCTTTATAGCGAGTTTTTACCATTAAAAGACATCCAACAAGCTTGTTGCACCCTTTCTGTGCTCCAGTGTATTTCTCTTGTCTCTGCTGAAGATTACTACAGGAATATTTCTCTTTTGGGCCTCAATAAGTTATCCTAGCTTTTATGAAATAAACCAGCGATTGGTTATGAACGACTAGACTGTTGGGAAAAGGGCAAGGAGTCGGAATGGTTACGAGTACTTACTTTAGTAACACTACTTGTTACTGAAATGTTATTTTGCTGATTCTTATGTTGACGTAAAATATCTGATCGGGGGCTTAAGCATAAAATAACTGCAATATCCGCAAAGCATTGTCTATCTAACTGATCCGTTTGTTCCAAATGCATATAACTCCCTAAGCATACCTTCATGATCACGTCTCATAAAAATCAGGTATCGATTATTTGTTTAGACCATTATTCCATTTTTATTATTCCTTTTGTGTTATTAGATAATCCTCATCGTAGTGACTTGTGAAACCTTATAGTACATGGACAAAGTAACATGACACAAGCCCTGCCCACGATTCGCAAGTACATTTTACTAAAAAGTGCTCTATATTCTTGTTAATGTACGCTAGTTTTACAAGTACATATTGCTACCGAGGAACAGTACAAGCCCTCAGGTTTTGCTGTTATCGCCTGAATTTCACGTTGTTAGTCCAATACACTGATGCGTCATGAACTTGATGCAATGCTGCCCGCGACTGTCAAATAATCTTCAAGACTATATAAAGTATATAGGTAAATGCCAAACAACAAAAGAGATTACAGCGAAATTTATAAAAACCACAGACCTACTCGTGCCCTGCGTACAAACGGCTGTGAGTAAAGGTCCATTAGTTGTGCCGTTGTGTTCATTTCATCAAACCTACTGGCCAAGCTGTATGGATGTAACAGCTGGACCCCATCGTCGTGCAGAATTTCGACGGTCTTCACACCCGCATGTCTGGCGCATTCAGCTGAAGAAAAAAATTGAATAGATCTAGGCGATCCCATCTATGCGTAGCTCGTTTAATCATTATGAATTCAGTGCTGTTACGTTTACTTCAAATCCGGTAGGGTCTACTTACTTGTTCGAACGTCCTCCTTGGTAGCAAATGGAGGACACAGTTTATTGAAATCAAATCCGAGTAGAACGAAGCGTCTTACGGCTGCTTTTGAGAGCACATAGCCAGCGCCACCAGAGAAGAAACCTCCTGGAATCTCACTCTATATTGGTGTAAATAAAGGTTGCGTGTGAAATGAAGGAGCTTTTGACCAGCCGCTAAAACTATTCATTATATAGTAAATAAACTAACCAATCAGCTCAATAGATTCAGTTGCCGAAGGTGTCAGTGATTACATAGAGCCACTTCGGTTAGAGATGATTAAGTCACGGAGCAAAGATGTAGATGAGCGCGATTTCATCTCCGATTAAAACAAATTCTGGGAACCCACACTCATAAATGGGGACTATCGGTAACTACCAATTAAAGGCAGGTTGGTTATGGGATGGGTAGCATAAAGGACTAGATCAAGGCATCATTTATGCATCTATATCGACGAACAACTGCTTAATCATTGTAGTTTTAGGCGGCGTCAATTTGCACTAGCCGCTGAGTGATAGACAGATGCCACGCATCGGCCATACTGGTTAGTCTATCAGATTGAACACCAGGTCAGTAAAGCACAAAATGGGAAGTGAACGGTCGCTTGCAATGTGAGTAAAATAGCAACAATTCAGTTGTGTATTCCTGCCGGCATAGAGCTCCATTCCCAGTTTAAAAAATAAAACAAAGACATGCAAAATGATTGTTACTTTAGTGCATAATGTGAGAGTATTAAATTGGTTAATTAATAAGTGAAACGTAAAAGATGATGACAGTTTTTTTAATTTGATAGGTTAACTGCTGTTATAATGCTAAACTCTCTCTGATCTCTGCTCCCTGCACAGCCAACCCCCTGTTGACAAAACAAAAAGCCGAAGCCTGCTATACCGAGGTGCATTAGACAAAAAACCCGTTCATTTTACACCTCAAAATCTATCATCCCCTGTTACAAGTTCCTGAGCTAAATCACGCCAATAGCCCTAAACAAATTCTAAACCGGGTTGCGCCCTGTCACGTGGCAATCTGTTTTATGCTGTCGGGCTGATTTCAACAGCACCCTGCTTGACTCAGGCTTACTACTTTCGGTCAAGTAACAGCACCCGTCATGATGACAGACTTATCGAAACGGTGTGAGGTTCTGAGGTTGCAGCCTGCCAGAGCGCACCATCGTTGTCAGCCGGATCGCCCACGTGCCAATGACAGAGTGTTTTATTAAATTTGTCCGAAGATAGGAGCGACTGCACTCAGGTGCTCACGTACTCCCGTACGTTGAATTACAAACTGTCCAATGGCGCAAATTGCTTTGCCGGTAGGGGAGAGATAAGGTACAGGTGTGTCACAGGTGTGTCTACGATGGCAGAGCACACGAAGCCGTTTGGCTTTGAGAAGTGAACGTTAACAAGCACCACAGCCGCAATCGACTTCTCATGCGTGGATCGCAGAGCAAGACCAAAGGAATGCACGCGGTTCGGCTGATCAAATTGGACGTTAGCCAGACACCTCAGCCGCACTGAATGTATCATGCTTGGATCGATCATTAACCGGCCATCACACAGGTGGAAAAGCCAGCAAAATAGTTCCCTGCGAAGTGATTATTGGGCCGCTGTGCTAACAATTGATAAAATACAGCCTGGCCGTAGGTGATGACCGGTCGATGGGCGTCGTATTGCTATCGCCACAAAAGTTGTTATCGCCTCATGACTGGTTTCCAGCAAGCCCGTAAATTTTTACTGGGCTGCTTTCGCTGCTCGAGGAAAGCATACAGCCAGGAGTACATTGTCAGTTTACGGTATCGTTCGCTTCAGCATTTCGATCGCGTGTGTGCTATAGCTGAAAATTCACCCTTCATGGGTGAATAAAAACGAATTCGTGACTTCACTTGATGTGAAAATGCTCGTCGATTTCAGTCTCATCCAACGCACTGGTGGTACATAAGACAGCACACAAATTTAGTCACGAATGCAACTGTTCCCCTCATAGCCAGACAATTGCTAGCTCTACAAACTGATCATGCCTTCGATGGTGTTCGTCGTGTGTAATGGAGAATATACATTTATTATTCTTTGTTTATATTTACAGGAAATGCGTGTAATGTCTTTAAACATCATTGAATTAGTTGTTCGATGTGCCCTCCGTCGTTTTGGCTACAGAGGAGCTTTCGCCGGATGATGTTGGCGAGCACTTTCTACAGCGACGCTAAGGAAACCTGCCTACTTTCGTCCACAATGTCCTCTTTCAGTTCATCCAGATTGTTGGGTTTCGTTCCATTAACTCTGCCCTTCGAATATCCCCATAGGAAAAGATCCATGGGATTCAGATCTGGAGATCGCGCAGGCCATTCTATCGCTCCTCCGCGACCGATTCAAAGTCCACCGAAAGTGTCGTTTAAGTAGGCACGAACCGAATGCGCCGAATGTGCAGATGCGCCATTCTGCTGCCACCAACCGATACTCATTAATCCTTCCGACCGTTCTTGCGGAATGTAGCCGCTCTGCAAAATTTCTATGTAGAAGGATGATAAGAAATGTTACACATTAGTACTGTTAAACAACAACCTACCGGACAGACCCCTAGTAAGGAAAAATGGTCCAATGACTCTTCAACTAGTCAACCCAGCCCAGGTCATGAGCTTCGCCCTATACTGCACATGTGAAGCGCTATATTGCCGTGGGTTGGTTGTTGTCTAAACGTGAAGCGTGACTTCGACATGCAGAGGGAACACTGCCTCATTGGTGGACAAAATGGTATGTACGTCTAATGTTTAAAAACAAACGGGCAAATTCCGGGCGTTTCTGCAAAATGCATGCTTTCGACACTTGTACCTTCAATGCACTCTACCGCCGGAATATTTTACTAAAATATCCGATACAAAACACCGTGTGGATTCGCAATGTTGTGCTAGTTGCCGAATGCTGAGATACCTGTTACTGCATACCACTTGAGCAACCGCGCAATCTGATTATTCATCCGTGACGGTGCGAGGCACTTTTTGATGCTGCAAACATCTAATTCGTTGATATTTACCGATATCTCAGAAATTTCATGTAAGTATAAGCACATAAATCAATAAATGTATATTCTCCATTACACACGACGAACACCATCGAAGGCATGATCAGTTTGTAGAGCTAGCAATTGTCTGGCTATGAGGGGAACAGTTGCATTCGTGACTAAATTAGTGTGTTGTCTAATGTACCACCAGTGCATTGGGTCAGACTGAAATCTACCAGTATTTTCACATCAAGTGAAGTCACGAATTCGTTTTTATTCACCCATAAAGGGTGAATTTTCAGCTATAGCACACACGCGATCGAAATGCTGAAGCGAACGATACCGTAAACTGACAATGTACTCCTGGCTGTATGCTTTCCTCGAGCAGCGAAAGCAGCCCAGTAAAAATTTACGGGCTTGCTGGAAACCAGTCATGAGGCGATAACAACTTTTGTGGCGATAGCAATACGACGCCCATCGACCGGTCATCACCTACGGCCAGGCTGTATTTTATCAATTGTTAGCACAGCGGCCCAATAATCACTTCGCAGGGAACTATTTTGCTGGCTGTTTTTCACCTGTGTGATGGCCGGTTAATGATCGATCCAAGCATGATACATTCAGTGCGGCTGAGGTGTCTGGCTAACGTCCAATTTGATCAGCTGAACCGCGTACATTCCTTTGGTCTTGCTCTGCGATCCACGCATGAGAAGTCGATTGCGGCTGTGGTGCTTGTTAACGTTCACTTCTCAAAGCCAAACGGCTTCGTGTGCTCTGCCATCGTAGACACACCTGTGACACACCTGTACCTTATCTCTCCCCTACCGGCAAAGCAATTTGCGCCATTGGACAGTTTGTAATTCAACGTACGAGAGTACGTGAGCACCTGAGTGCAGTCGTTCCTATCTTCGTAGAAGTTTAATAAAACACCCTATTCATCCGTATTAGCCGAGGAAATAACAAATTATATATGGTTAGCTTTCCTCTAAGTCACAGTTCTTATATCCTAGTGATCTTTGCATAACTACTAACAAAATTTTTTACGGAGGCACTGTCTTTTTGTTTCAGTGTGTTAAAACAGTTAATCCTTGTCTGGGCCGCTATACGCGCTAAAGTAACTGCAGGCAATTTATCCATCTGAATTGTATCTGAAGCAGATACTCTTAGTCTCCGACCGCTTGTATTACAATTGATGTTTTGTGACTTAGCTACACCTTGGGCTTCGCATAGCCGCAGGTTGAAGTGCATGACTCCGATAAATTGATATGGGTGGTTCAGGAAAGTTTATCAATGTAAACTGAGTTACCCAAAAATCTCTTTGGAGGATTGCGTTAACCGTATTTGAAACCTACTACTAGGTGCATAGGACGATAGGATGTGATGCTAAAAAAGAAACCTCCAAAAATGTGAAATATAATCTTTGTGTCTTCAAACTTGTCCGCGCTCTTTTGTTCCATCTGAAAAATTATTTATCATCACGCTGTCGATTATTTTACACTTACTTTTTTTACCAAACCCACACAACTTTTAACGCCAAAATGTCTTACACTCGGGATATTTTAAACTCCTCACGTGTTGTTACTCCACTGAATGTCACGGTTTTTCAAGGTATAGGTGTAAAAGATAAACTGAAGCGAATATACAAGAAGCACAATAATTCTAATGAAAAGTGGCGTGCTGGACGGAGAGCTGCTCTACGAAATAAAACATTGCGGTGTAGGAATATACTAATCATAATAAGCTCAAATGTATGATATTATTAGCAAAATGGATGAGATTAATTCAACATTCGCCGTCGTGAATACTCGGAGCTTGACATAATTATGTTCAAAAGAAGTGGCTCCATTAAGATGTTAAACATGAGGTTGTTGCGATCGAGCGATTCATTTACCATCTTGTTGACCGGTCAACCACATACAAAAGCCGCGGCGGAGTTGTCGTCATTTATGTCAATGCTGTGTGGTGCGCGTCAGCAAAATGCTGGTTTCAATTTTCCTCCCTGCGTATTAACTGTTTGATTTTGAAATGCAAACCGAGATGTTTCATTGGTTAACCATCGATTTTGCTTGCAAATATCTACGTTGCCACAGAGGCTGAGGAAATTTACGAGCAGTAAATTTCTAGTGTCATC